TCTGGATCAGGAACATGCCAGAAACTGCATTTTTCGTTGTGCGGGTGAGGGTGTATTTGCCTCCATTTTTCTGGTTTATTCACCCCACTGGAGCGAGAGCCACACTCGTTGGGTACTCCAACTTTGCAAGGTGGCACACTCTGCAGGTGCAACGGTGCATTTTGACATTTCTGGTTGGAACCAATGCTGGTCCGATCAACTTTTCCTACACTGCATTTCCACCGGCCTTCAAAACATTGTGCAGGTACCGGCATGTGCTTACAAGGGGGTTGGTGGTAGCCCCTGGATCATGGTCTCTTCGTCGCCTTCTTTCTCTGCTTTGGGGCACCTATGCTGTTGTAGTAGATGCAGTGCGACCTCCACGATCTCTGATTATCCTCCTGCATTCGTGGATGCACTTTGCGACATACTTTTGATATCCAACCTTCGCAAATGCTCAGGTCAATGCGAGTTCTCCATCGATGAGGCCTGGTCCTGCATTCCGGTCAAACAGTGCGATGCTTCACCACATGCTTGGGGGGATGGTGGTGGCCTAAACAGCCGCCCGGACTGGAGTGGCCAGGACCGCTCCACTAAGGACATTTTCAAATCACTTCGTCATGCATTGATTACCTGGTGTGGCAAGGCATGCATTCCTTCCAGGCTGCGGCATAAGCTTTTGCATCCTTCTGAGGCTCATCTGTTCTCTGCCACTGAGCTTGGCGAAATTCGTGGGTTGTTTTGTACCTGGTTGGCGTCTCAGGGCTGTTCCGATGTCGACTGGTCCATTAAGGATGGGCAGCCATACTGCCTTAATGCTCTGTCTGCATTATCCTCGACACTTCAGGATGCAGATATGACTCTTTTCAATGCATTGCTCAGTGGGGTTCCCACTGGCTTCAAACACGACATCCCCCTTTCGGGGGTTTTCGCTCCCTCAGGTCGCACTGCTTCTGATGATGCATTGACAGTATGTGAAGAAAATTGGCAGGGAGCCGAGGACGACCCGGTCCTCCTCGAAGAACTTGTCCAAATCGAGGTGGACAAAGGCTGGCTGCGATGCATTGAGTCTTTGGAAGCTGCACGCCAGATCTGGCCCAATGTTGCTGTCGGCAAGCTTAATATCGTACATTCCGAAGGCCGTAAACCGCGACTCGTGGTGGATTCCTCCATTTGTGGTACAAATGCATCATGCCTTATTCCTGAGCGGTCTGCACTTCCTACTTTACAGACTATACAGACTTCATGGCCTTTGCGTGGGAAACATGAGCCACTCGCCGCTTGGTCTCTGGATGTACAAGCTGCACACAAGTCCATTATGGTTCGGGAGTCCGAGCAGGGCCTCCTCGGCATCCGGGTAGGCCCCAAGCTTTATTTCTATTCAGTGTGTCCATTCGGTGCTGCTTTTTCTGCTTTCTGGTTTGCTAGACTTGGTGCATTCTTTGTTCGGACACTGCATCGCTTGATTTTCATTGCTCATTTCCTCGCCATGTACGTGGACGATTTACTTGGCTTCCAATCTGCATCGGTGGCGGAGATGAGTTTTTGCATTACCCTCTGTTTCTGTGGTGCTTTTTCCATTCTTTTGTCGTGGAAGAAATTGCAGTTCGGCTGCTCCATCCGCTGGATAGGGTGGGAGCTCGATTTTGGCATGGGGTGCGTTTGCATTCCGTCTGACAAGCTGGAGCGATTGCATTCAGTTATAGTCACTGCTCTCCGTGGTAAATACACGGATCGTGTTACATTGAGCAAGTTATGTGGCATGATGCAATGGCTTTTCAAGCTTTTTCCATTGGCCAGGCCCTGGCTCAGGTCACTTTACCAGGACCTCAACACTCCTCGTGCAACCAACTTCAGTGTTCGTCAAACTGACTGGCAATCCTTCATTTCATGTCTCAATGATACCTTGCATCTTGTGAGGTTACCCACTGGATCCGCCATTACAGTGGGCAGCAAGGTGCTTGCAGTGCGACATCGCAAAGTTAGCACCAAGCGCGAACTTTTGTCTTGCAACATTGGTGATAAGGATATCTGGCTTCGCATTGCTGACTCGGCCTCAAAACGCCGTGCATTGAGCCCAGCTTCTCGCAACTTGTTGTTTTTCTGGCTGCAGTGGTCTTCATTGCCCCCTATCTGGCGATCCCTTCGTCCAATTGACACTATAATGGTGGAGGCTGCCGCAGATGCTATGGGCAATGGCCGTACATTTGCTATTGGCGGCTACATTGCTTTACCTGCTGGGGAATTTTGGTTCTCTGAGAGATTTACTGTGGAGGACTTTGCATTTGCAGAGCTTCCTCTTAAGTCCGAGGCGCACAAGGACATTACTTGTTACGAATGCCTGGGTCAGATTGCATTAGTTTGGCTTTTGAGTGCAGTTCACCCAGGATGCAAGCTTTCTGTTCGCATGCATTCCTGGTGTGACAACAGTGGTGCCGAGGCCACAGCAAACAAACTGTTTACGACTTCATGGCCTCTTGCTGCATTTGTGCAGCGACTAGCCATTCTGAGTAGCTTTACTGGCGTGCATCTTGATGTGCATCACATTGCAGGTCCTAAGAATGTGGAAGCGGACTTTTTGAGCCGTTGGCTTCCTCCTGCTCCATTGCCGGATCGATGGAGCATTTCGCGTCGTCGACGTATTCCTTTAACCTCGTTATGGACGGCATCGCCTTCCATTTCACTTTCTCCGGAGGGCTGGAAGCCTCCTTTTCGAGTTCCGAGTGTTTCTCCATTGGGAGCAGCACTCTAATCACCTTGTCGCACGTTTTTTTTCATTTGGTGGAATTGATGCGCGACTTCGGTTCTCTGGCAGTTTGCATTTGGGGGAAAACATGCAGATCAGTTTCACTGCAAGGTCCATTCCTTGCTCGGACAAAACGATCTGCATTCCCGCCAGAGAACGAAAGGAGCGAGTGTTGAGCGACTGCATCAATTCCATTTATATATTCCTTTTGAATATTTCCTTTCGCTTTATATGTATTTCCATTACATATAAAGCTGCAAATAGGAAGCAGCTGCGAATACATTAACCGAACGGTATGTGTGCTTGCTCACGAGTGTTTGGTAATGTTTTGCATGCTTGCTGCATTTCATGACATTCAATGTTCATTGCAGCAAGCAGGCTCGCAGCTGCCAGCTCGCCTGCATCGCAGGCAAAAATTTTTTCCCACCCACCTCTTCCCTTTTATTGGGGAGTACATTGCTGGCATCTGCATTCTGGTGGCGGTCTTTCTTGCTTGCATTTCTGTGGATGTCTGCATCAACATCAGGCGAAGCTTTCTTGGCCATCTTCTAAGAAGATTGACCATTCTGCATTCCTTCATCGGTGACAGGTCGGTGCCTTTTGATGCACCTCGATCTCACCGGATGGGGGAAAACATGCAGATCAGTTTCACTGCAAGGTCCATTCCTTGCTCGGACAAAACGATCTGCATTCCCGCCAGAGAACAAAAGGAGCGAGTGTTGAGCGACTGCATCAATTCCATTTATATATTCCTTTTGAATATTTCCTTTCGCTTTATATGTATTTCCATTACATATAAAGCTGCAAATAGGAAGCAGCTGCGAATACATTAACCGAACGGTGCTGCGCTCTTTGTAGCCTGGTTTGGCTCACACCCATCATCCGAGCGAAGGCTCGTCGGCAAACGCGGACACCTGGGAGATTGGAAGTGATATGAAGTTTTGGCACGCACTCCACCAAATGATTCGAAGCTTTATGCAATCGAGACGCCACAAATCGTCCACTGCTGCTTGTCCGCCCTAGGGCCAGGGCCTTGCTGCCAAGGACCCTCATCGTCGGACGGGTCCGAATCTTCATCTCCATAACAGGTATTTTGCGCTGACCAGAGCAAAAGGTCTTGACCAGCTTTGCTGAGTGTCCAAAACGCGGTGCACAATGCGAGGAGCTTGCGAAACGTTATGAGCTTCCAACACCTCAAGTTAGTTCCCAATCATAGCTTGCACCACGACTTGCTGGACATAAGCAGGCGTTAGCAATAATGAGCATGTACTAATTATATGCAAACACAACACATGGCTATAATGTTTGGTTGCCAATAGGCTTCCTTCTGCACCGGCATCCCGAGTTTGACTTCCCAGCAAGAACCTTCTTGATGCGCTTGCGACTCTTACCACGGGCGGCATACACGCTCTCGTCCTGTGCTCCATCCAGCGTCTGCATAGCGTGCATATAATTCAGGTTTAACTCTGCAACCTTAACGGAGCTGCTTGTCGAGCTGCTGCTGCAGCTGCCGCTGCTGGCAGCCTCACATGAGCACATGGTCTGGAAATATCAAACTGGCGTCCGCGCTAAATAATTAGTTTTATAACTTTCAAGAGCGTTGCGAGCCTCCTTCGAAGTCGTTTCGGATTCGGACTCGCCGGATTCGGATTCACACTGGCCAGACGATCGGGCATCTGCGTCGAACCTTCGCCACGCCAGTGGAGAACGGCTTCGAGGCTGCGAGTCGCTAGCGTCATCGCAACGCCACTTTCCCATGAATGCCCATGGGATCCCATGGGTTCAGGGGCAGCTGGGTTTTGTGAGGCTCGGGGTGTCAGCAGGTTACAGCCTTCGGCAAGAGTTGGTGTCGAGGTTTCTCCGGTCTCGTTGATATGCGAAGTATTTTGGTTTAGGTTCAAGACTAAGAATTTTATGTTCAGGGTCCAGGTTTTGGGTTCAAGGATATGTATGGCATGTGCCAAATAAATTCAAACCAATGATGATACAGGTCGGTGGTGGTGTCTTTATTACGGTTACATTTTCATCGGCCGTAAGGGATCGGGGCTGTATTGCGTCGTAAGGAGCACACACAGAGAGCACTGAAGCTGAAGATGGCCAGTAGCAACGAGACACGAAACAGGCGGCAGCAGCAGCAACATGGCTTGGGCCCTGTCCCTCGCTGTCTCTCCCTCTCTCTCGTTCTCTATCCGCCCACCCCCCAGTCCTGAGGAGGAGTGCGGGTAAAAGTCGTAGTGCCTGCTGAGGATCGCACGGAAGGAGGGGCCAACATCCATCAAATTGGAGATGAGCTTCCGCTTGCCGGAGTCGATTCTCCATTTTTCACCGTGATCAACTTGTTGTAGTCCGCGATACATTTCGAGAGGAGTTCGCGGGTCGTGACTTTCCTGAGACAGTCACCGTTGGAATGTCAAAAAATAGCGAAAGGTGCGGCCAGGCCTGGTGGTCAGCGCCTTTTCGCACTTCATCGCCTGCTCAATTTCGGCCATGTACTGCAACGCCGAAGGAGCTTGCGTCTCCGCTGTCCGGGCGCCCAAGCCTGTCAGGTTAGCTGCCCCCTGGTTTGTGTCTTTTCCCTCTGCTGTCACCCTCTCGATCTTCTTCTGTCTTGAACTCTCGAAGTTCTGGGCGGAACGAGCCGCCAGCGGCGTGGGTTGCCGCTTGTTCACCTGAACTTTGCTTTTTGCTACATGAACCTCAACAAATCTCAACAAGGCCAACCCCTCAACACAGCGAAGAGACGGAGAGCATCGTAGTGGTAGGCTGCCAGGGATGCGTGCTTGGTGTGCGAGCAGAGAACCATAGCAAAGGACGGCAATGTCCTGAGCACGTCCTTCTCCAAGCCCAGCTTGTGCGCGATGCACACCGCCAGTTGCATGATCAGGACTTTGCACTGGCCGTCCACGAAGCGAACGTTAAAGCCATGGCGGTGGATCTGTCGGTTTCCACTGCTTCGAACCTCACAGCCACGGGCTCCCTGCTGTCATTGCCCTGGCTGATGAAGGACAAGAAATGCGCACGGAGCTGGCTCTGGTGTGGGAAGTCTCAGCAAGCGCATCGCGATTCACACTAATTCTCCCACTAACGCAATCCTTGCTTCAGGGCACATCAACAATGAACACATGGCAAGAAGCGACCGTTCTTGCCTTCTGTGGAGTAGTCAAAGCAGCTCAGGGGCAGGTAGAAGGCTTCCATGTTCTCGCGGGGCACCAGCGACAAGGGCGAACGGGTATGCCCACGCCCCTCACTCATATAGTGATCTATGACCTGACAGATACAGAGCATGTCAACAACATTGCAAGCTACTGGTGTCTGCAGGTTTGCAAATCAGATTAAAACCAATCAAGATGCCCCCGCGAAGACCTCTTTGGAGGCCATTGTCCGGAACATCCACGTGCAAGGGTTCTCCTTCTCGCAGACCTTAAACCGAAATAACAAACAGCAGATGGCCGTCGACCTTCACTGCGATTCAAATTTGCAAGATTCTGCAAAGGTGCACTTTCGAAGAAAGTGTTTACAGCTTCCACAGCTGCAGCATGGCTTCTTTCAGCCTGAGCAAGCATGGGCAGCACCAAATGCACCCCGCACCGAACATACATCCGAACGAGTTGCATCGGGCTCCGGCTGGCTTGCCATCATGAATCAGAGGCAGGAGCCCTAGCGGCCCTAGCGCCCCAAAAAATGCACTGAGCCCATATGTGCAGTGGATTTCGCCGGGGGTGCTTTCAAGTGTCTCTAGCCCTGCGGCATCAACTGAGCATGATAACAGGTCTGAGAGAGTCCGTCGTTCATATTTTCGCGCCATGGCCAGGGTCCAGCTGCATCCCACAAGCCATGTCTCTTCACATCTTTCAGACCGACATCTTGCTTGTCCAAAGCACCAGCCGCTACTATTTGCTTAAGAACCCCCAAAAAATAAAAATATATTCCTTATAGGGATAATATAGGGATTAGTATTTTTTATTAATATATTCCTTATAGGGATAATATAGGGATTAGTATTTTTTATTAATATATTCCTTATAGGGAAAATATAAGGATTCGTATTTTTTTATTTTTTGGGGCTTCTTAAGCAACTAGTCGGCCGTCATGGATCCAGCACCTCAGCCAATAAGTCTTTCCTTCAAAGACCAAAGCTCAGAAACCAGGGCCCGGACTCGAAAAGAGCCGCATCTTTTTCAGCCCACCATCTTGTTTGTCATTTGCACGAAGCGGCTGACATCCAGCGCCTCAGCTAATATGCTTTTCCTTCAAACACCTAAGCTCAGAAACCAGGGCCCGGACTCGAAACGAGGCGCACAAGGCAACCCCGATGGCACGGAGATGCATGCTGTTGCCAGCAAGCTTCGCCAATGCCTGTGTTGAGGCATGATGCAACAACAATCTGTTAACAAGAGGCATCGTGCCTGGGAAGTGTTGGCTCCCAGATCGAGTCTGTGCAGCGGGAAGCCCTGCTGCAACATCAACTCTTCACCTGTAAGGGGAAGGCCAACACGAGAACCAAGCATGAATCCGCGATCTGAGGGGCTGTCTGGACATCATCCGCCCAGCTGCCAGGACGAAACTTCCGCCAGGCCTTGGAAATGTGCACTCACACGATACTTGACATGATGTTTTGCATGATGCTTCGGAAGATAAGGCTCTTGCGTGACACAGCAGAACGGCCTCGGGTTCCATTCCAACTCAGAATACACATAATAAACAACATGGATGCAGCACTTGTTGCAACCCAGTTGCTGGTTTGCTTTGATGGCGCGCATGCGTTCCACACCCTGCGACACGTCCAAGCAAACCCAATCCGGCTCCAAAGCGCAATGAGCGAGGAGCCCATGCATCTGGCGCGTCGAAAGAAGTAGGTCGCCGAGGCCCGGCACTTTCCTCCATCCCGCTTCGTAGGCATCTTTGGCAGACACCTGCCCGGTAGCATTCAAAAAACAAACGATGTATGTATGCATGCATAATCGAAAGACTGATTCTGCTGCAGATGGCCTTCTTCTCCTTCAAAAATTTCCAAAGCTTTTCCTTCCACTTCTCTCCTCCAGGAGCTGGCTTCCTTGGAACCACGAAGGGACGGCTTATTTATTTATTATTATTCAGAGTCACGACAGCATCCAAGATTGGCCCGCCTGGAGATCAGGGGTGGCACGTTTTCCTCGAAGCGTTTGCGCTTGTGACCCCTGACAGGCTCGGACTCGTCGTCGAGCAGAAGTGACATCCTGTAAACAAAAACGCATCATGCTGCAAACTGCACATGGTTCCAGGTTGCAAGCAAGATTCCAAGGTTCGGTGCTTTCACATCGGAGCTTCGTAAGGGTCTCGTCGATCTTTTTCTCAAACTTTTTCACTGCCACACTTTTGTGGATCATGATGATGTAGTAGCGATCGCGACTGCCGACCCCTCCATAGTCCAGCCTCAGACTCGACTCCAATTTACCGCCTCGCAGCCTTGACACCCCGACCTAGCCAATGCCGAGCAGCGGGTCGATCTCGCAGACCTTGATCCCATAGTCCCCGCACTTCTTTAAGTGCTTCAGCACCTTGGTTGCAACATATTGGAGCCTGACATGGCAGATGAGCATGATCGGAGGTCAGCACCTTGTCCATCACCCGGCCCAGGCCTTTCACATTCTCCAGGATACATACCTCAGCATGAAAGCAAATATCAGCAAATCGGAAGGTACTCATGGCCTTAAGTGTCAAGTGGCACCGCAGGCTGTATTCAATGCAGACAAAGAGCCAGTGGTGGAAGTTTTCGGATGTGGTCGCGGCAAGCGAAAAACTGTCGGGCTTCGGGGTCATCTAGCAGATCCGTCTGATGTCTCAGCAACGAGAAAGCTTTGCAGGGGAATCCTGCAACGTACACCGCGACCTCGCAACCAAGACCAAACTCATGCCAAAAGGATGCCCATCGAAAGATGCGGGTCCAGAGAAGCGGCCTTGCCAGCAAGATGCCCCAGCTTTCGTCCAAAAAGATCCTTTGCGATCCTCAGTGTCTAGAAACAGTAACAGCAAGTGACGCCTTAGGTTAGGAGTTAGGATGTATTTCGAGGACTGGGACTCATGATGCTAACAAGTCACGGGACACCGGGCATATTTCGCTGAATCCACTTCTGCGGCCCTTTGGCATAGTCGCAGGCAGACCTAAGTTCATCATTTCACAATACCCTGACAGTTACCCTGACACTGACACCACATCGTGCAACTTGGCGATCAATCTGCAATCAAGACACACCAGCTGAAACTTCTTGGCACCGACGGCAGCTTCGCTGAGCATGTCCAGCGCCAGTGTCGGAGTTTCTGCACCGGAACCTCAGATGCTTCGGCCCATGCACGCACGCCCCCCCACCCCAAACAGACACATCTCTGGCGGGAAATCCGCCAGCGGCAGGGGGTGCCGCTTGCTAAGGCGAAGATCCGCCAGCGGCAGGGGGTGCCGCTCTTAGTCCTGGTCTCACTGTTCTGCCTCTCTCGCTCTCTCTCTCTCTCTCTCTCTCTCTCTCTCTCTCTCTCTCTCTCTCTCTCTCTCTCTCTCTCTCTCTCTCTCTCTCTCTCTCTCTCTCTCTCTCTCTCTCTCTCTCTCTCTCTCTCTTTCTTCCTCCCACGAGATGACTGGGTTCCCCGCACTCCGTCACCAACGGGACGCCGCCGTCGGGCAACTGCTGGAAGAAGTCCTTCAGGTCGCAGCGGTCCACGAACAACTCCCCGTACTCGAGATGCAGCTTTTGCGTAACTGTCAGCATCGGGGTCCTGGAGGAAGAGCAGCTGGTAGACGTAGACGAATCGTTGACACTGCTGCTGCTGCTGTAGCTGCTATCAGTGCCCTCGTTGCTCGAAGCTCCGCTGCGGCTGGGATCCATTCGCCAAGTAGGCATTAGGGCTTAGGGTTTAGGGTTTAGGTTTTAGGGTTTATGGTTTAGGGTTTTAGGGTTTAGGGTTTAGCTAACCAATGGTTTTGGGGGTTTCCTGGGCTCTTTAGCTCCTTATTTAATAGGGATTATCATCATCCTTGGCTCCTTAGCTCCCATGATATCAATGGTTAGTTAGGGTTTAGTCGGCACCTCGGTTCCTGGCATATGCATAGTCCAGGTGTAAAAGGGTTTAGGGTTTAGGGCTATCAAGTCAGACTATAGGTCCTCAGGTCTGAAAAGACATTCGACTGAACAGCGGTTTGTGCTGGTTTGCTGCGACGGCTTCGGAGGATTAGCTCTGTCTGTGTCTGGATCACAGCGGTTTGTGGTGCTTTGCTGCGACGGCTTCGGAGGATTAGCTCTGTCTGTGTCTGGATCACAGCAGCGGTTTGTGGTTTGTGGTGGTTTGCTGCGACGGCTTCGGAGGACTAGCTCTGTCTGTGTCAAACTCCACTGACGTGTCTTGGCACTTAAGCCAGAACTCCTGCGAGCCACAGCATGCCACAGCCACTCCGCAAACAGAAGCTTTTCGAACTGGTGCAGAAGTGGTGGCAGAATGCACCGAGCACCCGGCTGAATTTGTCCGGGTCTGGCCTGAGCACACAAACGGGAGGAGCACACAAACGGCAACACAGAAAGACAAACTGCAAACTGAACTGCAGCACGCACATCTTTTTCAAGACCACCAGGGTTTCCCCCAATTGCGTCCGCCTCGCCGGCACTTCCTCCCCGTCTCCAACAAAACTTGTCGCCTGTTGGACAACGGGGGGCCAAAAGGGATGCCTTCTTCCTGAAGGCCATCCCCAAAAAAAGGGATGCCTTCTTCCTGAAGGCCATCCCCAAAAGCGATGCCTTCCTCAAGAAGGCCATCCCGTGGCACCTGCAGGTCCACTCACAAACAACATTATGATTGTATTGTATTTTCAGGGAGTGGGCTATGAAAAGTCTCTGGCGCCTCCTCCTGGTCCAAGCGGACCGGGGCCGGTGCGGCCCCATCTTCATCTTTCGAATCCTCCTCCGAGTCCTCAAGAGCATGATCTTATGATGATTTTGATGTGTTCCGGGCGTGGGCAACGAAAAATCTCTGGGGCCTGCTTCGGCTCCAACAAGTTCGGGGCCGGTGCGGCCCCATCTTCATCTTTCGAATCCTCCTCCGAGTCCTCAAGAGCATGATCTTATGATGACTTTGATGTGTTCCGGGCGTGGGCAACGAAAAATCTCTGGGGCCTGCTTCGGCTCCAACACGTTCGGGCCGGTGCGGCCCCATCTTCGTCTTTCAAAGGCTCC